TTAAGACAGGCTTCTGCCAAAGTGCTTTTGATCACAGAGACCCTGGCCCTTGAGGTACTCACACTGCTTATGCCAATATCCTAAAAAGCCACCCATTTAAGATTGTCATAGAAGATCTGGGTCCTTCTTTAACAGACCAAAATTAAAAATTAATGGAACCGCAAGAAGGGGTTAAGTGACACTCAGCAGATGATGTGGTATTATTCTATTTTTATAAAATAACTTTATGTGAATATATATATATTTAGGAATACACTGATGCTATATATACTGATTTTACATATATATCATAAAGCAAGTTTTTTTAAAAAGGTTTAAAAGGATAGCAAACTTTTAACAAGGTGTAGACTTTTCTTTATTCTATATATTGTAACTTTTGCTTTTCATTAGAAAAGCACTACTAGTTAAATGCCTGTTAAAATCACACAAATGGCTTCAGACGTCATTTCCATTTTTCAATAAGCAAATGTGTTACAGGGCAATCCCCTGACTTGCCCAACATCACCCAGCTCATTAACAATGGAGAACTGCCTAGGAGTGAGAGCTAAAGCTGTAAAGGAGAAAGGAAAGTCAAGGGGCTCATGTGGTTTCCACCAAGATAAGGAAAAGCTAAGAAGAAAAATTCAGTTTTGCAAGGGCAATCTTCCGAGTAGATGCCCTTCTCTTCTTATAAGTGCCCCGTTTGTATCTCCCACAACTCCAAACTGTTTAACAGTGTAATCCTTAAACAAGCATCTTATTCATTTCCTTTGCCCCCAGTGCCCAACAATAGCACCAACAGGAACTCACAAAATACAGGCTAAGTGACTAGACAGAGATGTACACTCACATGCAAAACTGAATAAAGCAGCAAAATTGGGAGTTTCTACAGGGAACTTCCCCTGAAAGGGCAATTCTTAACTTTTTTGAACACATAAGCAGCACCTATGGCCAGCAGGTGGGGCCAGAGTAATAGCTTTCCAACCTTTAGGAAGCCACGTTTGAATATTTAAAAAGAGCATAAAGCCAAACATGGCACCAGTGACATTTTTGTCCCCCTAGTAGATTAGCATGAAATCCCATTTCCAATCTAGCTCACCTGTGATGGTAAGAGGTTTGGCACAGGTTTTGTGCAGGTGCAAAAGCAACGCAGACACCATCTTGAACCCAGTTTCTTGCGGTAAAGTATCTGCCTGATCAAGGCAGTACCAAAAAATGAGAGGATATGCAGAACGGCCCCACAGGCTGCAACAGCTAGAGTTGGTGGGGTTGCAGGAGTATGGACAGAATCAGGTTGGCTGATTTGACCTCCAGTGGCTCGCAAGGCAGCTGTGGGCAGGCACACGTGCTAAGTCCAGTGGCTCAGCCCAGCAACAAGCAGGAGCCAAGTGGTGCTGGAAGTCAAAGTGCCACCCTATTATCCACAGCCTTCCCACAGCCATGTCAGCTTTTGACCTGTAAACCCAGCAGCTGTAATAAGTATTACAGTTCCAAAGAAAGGCTTCTCAGGATTAAGGAGTTTCACCAGCTGCCCAGAAACCACTAGTGATGAATGATAGTTATAAGAAATGGGGCACTTTCCCAAAGCAAAAAATAAAGATTATAAGGTGACTTTACCAGATCTGAATCCTAGGGACACTTAACTCTCATTCATTTTCAGAACAAAGGGTCCTACATTCATGACACTGACCACATTTCAAATAAATCATTTTTCAAATAAAGGTAAAAATAAGTGGCAATAATCAAGACCTATATATTACCTCCATAATGAAAAACAAAATTTTTAGTATATGACCATTTATTTTCTCCAACAGAAAAAGCTCTGAACCCCTAAAATAGTTTTGATGGGATAGAAACCAGGGTTTCCATCATTTTGTGTCTCTATTTACTAGACTACAGGTAGAAATTATGAAAGGGTGCAAGCCAACACACATTCAGTGGGCCTCACTCTAGGTGAAGTATTATGCCAAGTGAAAGCCCTCTCCATAACTCCAGAAGATTCATATATAGTGCTCTAAAAGAAATAAAACAGGTGTTTGGATTAGGCAAAATAATCCTCCATTTATCAGTAATAAAACTCCCAATTTAATAATCTTGCAATTTAAAGAATTGTTTTTTAAAAAAAATCAAGGGATGATTTCTAAGTATTCTCCAATAAAAAGAACCTTTATTCTTTGGAGAAATGGGGCTGGGGCAGGGAAAATACAGAACTATCCAGGAACATCTTGCAGTACCAAAAAATAAGGAAGGGCTCCAAAAAATGCTGGGGCAGTCAAAAAGACAAGAGCCAACTTGAAGGAGCTCCCAAATTGCCAAAGCTGGGACAATTTGAGCAACAAAATAAATAATAGCACTGACCCATGGGATAAAATATTCCTGAATCCATAGTGATATGATAGGCTTAAAAAAAAGGGGAAGAGGGGGACAGCTTCTCCTTACAAAACTCTACTTAGTATAAATGTAGAAGGAATAATAAACATTTGGGAAATGCTACTTGTTACAGGCAGTAACAATCCAAAGATGTCAAAATTAGTGAACCAAAGATTGATAGCTTTAAAGTATATCCCTCCATGAGTTACTTATTAATTACAAAGGAAAAATCAGTAACTTTACAGTAGAGAAATCCAGCAAACACTACTTTAACCAAGTGGTCAAAGTTAACATCACTGCCCTAGCTGGTGTGCCCAGTGGTTAGAGCGTCAGCCCATGAACCAAAAGGGGTCTCTGGTTCGATTCCCAGTCAAGGGCAAGTACCTGAGTTGCAGGTTTCCCAGCCAGGCGGGTGACTGTGGGAGGCAACCAATCGGTATGTCTCTCTCACATTGATGTTTCTCTCTCCCTCCCTCCCTCTCTAAAAATAAAAAAATATTCTTGGGTGAGGATTTAACAAAACAAAATAAAAAGTTAACATCACCAGTAATAAATAAGACATGGACATCATGTATCCTGATATAATGCATTGAGAAGGGCACATGACTTTTGTGCATTCTTGCCAAAAAATAACCTCAACTTAATAGTGAGAAAATATCGGACAAATCCAAGGGGCAGTCCATAAAATAACTGGCTAGTACTCTCCAGAAGTCAAAATCATAAAAGGGGACAATTAAACTCACGGGATAAAGGCTAGAGAAAACTAAATGCATGTGGGATCCTGGATTGGGTGAACCAGAAAAAAAGAAGAAAAAAAGACATTCCTTGGGCAACTGGCACAATCCAAGTAAAATCTATAGATCAGTTGATAAGTACTGTATCAGTATTTACTATTTTTTATAACTCTACTATGGTTATGTAAAATGTTAACACTTGGAAGAAGCTGAGTAAAGGGCATATGAAAACTCTCCATATTCTTTTTTGTAGAAGTCTAAAATTATTCCAAAATAAGATTTTAAAAAACGGAATATGTTGGGGGAAGATAGCCCATCAAATGTAACTAAGATTAAAGATCAAATTGTTCATATTAAAGGTTAAAAATGCTTTGAATTGACACAGATCAAATAAGGTGAGATTATTCAGTTTCCCCTCATCCTCAACAAAAGAGAAAAGTAAACAAACATAGCTATTCAAAGTTTTACATTCACAAATGACAACAGAACAAAGCATTGAGGACAAATAGTCAGAAGTCAGTAATTTCCACTGGCAAAACTGTCATTAGCAAAGAGAACTAGTTTAGCTATATTTGAAGATCTTCAACAAACCAACTTTGGGCCAAACTCTTAGGGTGAACATAGTCTAATTTTTTATACTACAGAAAATGCCAATATGGTCTTGGGTTTTTTTTTTCAAATACACATATCCAACATCCTGATAGTCCCCCCTCCCCCAAACTCTCAGGGAGAGCTAGGTAAGCAGCTTTGTTAGGGGCTCGAAATCCCTTTCAGTTTGCACCCAAAGCCATCCCTGTATTTTCTATGTGATCTGAAAAGAAAGACTGGGAAACACTGGCTTAAACTAAACTAACATTTCAAATTGCAAAAAAGTATCCTGAATGATGTCACATCCAACTTGAATATAAGGTAGGAAAAATCTAGGTAAAATTCCTTTCGAACTGGTATTTTTCAGGATATTTTCCTTTTTGAAGGTGAAATACTAAACAATTAAGTCCATGAGAGTCTTCTAAAAGTCACAGAAATCTGAGCTAAAATGGAAAACACTGTTACATTTCTAATTTGGAGACTGGGCATCTCCAAACCGATGAAAGCATGAAAGACTCCACAATCTCTGGGAAACTATTTCAAAAAACTTGAAAAATTAGAATATCTAAGTATATTGTACTGTGCGCCTCAGACAGGCAGAGAAAAGTTCTCAACCTCAAGTGTCACTATGTTGTTAATTACAAATCAGCAGTTATTAATTTTATTGCACCCTTGAATTTAGGAGCCTGGGCTGTGTAGACTAGGATGAATGTCATTTAAAGGCAAAATACTATCCAACAGTATTAAAACCCATTTTCAGAATCCTTTCTTATTACAAAAGTTTTCACACATTTAACTCCCCAACACTGGGAAATCTTAACTGCTAAAAATCTTTAAGGCAGAAAAGCCCCAACCCTTAGAAAATAAACATGGGTAAATCAAACACCATTATGATTGTATTGTTCACAAAGATCCAAACCCAATGGAATTTCTTATTCTTGGACCTGCATCCACATGGATGGAATCCTGTCTAAATAAGCTATATTTCAGATTAAACACATCCTGGATACTGGGCTCTTCCAGGTTTCTACAGGGTAAGCACAGTGACTGGCACCTAGTAAGCACTCACAATCAAGTATTTGTTGAATGACCTAGCAGCGTTCTACCTTCTCTGGGAAGTATCCAGGAATAAAGCGATATAAATTTTGGCCCACCTTGCTTTGCAGAGGTCATGGTTATCTAGCCCTGGGTACAAAAGCAAACCTGAACTATTTCACCTCAGCAAACTTCCTTAAAATAGTTGATGTCTCATTTCTTAAAACTCCTTATACTCCAAATCTTTCACAAAATATACCAGACTCAAATAATACTAATAAATAGTACTAAAAGTGATGCTCAACAGGATCTCACGTTTATTGAGAAGTGATTAATGGTAAAAAGAAAGGCAATGCCCTTTCCTCATTGGATGAACAAGAAACTGAAGAAACATTCACTATACGTTTTACAATATTTTTCTCTTCCAAAATGCATTTCTGTAAACAAGTTTTTATCACTGTTCTTAGCTGTGAAATAAAATTAATCCTGACTCAATCAGTATAATGTACATGAACAGAACATTTCTTAGGACTCCTAGTACTTTACTCTGAGTAACAAAGGGTCAGAGAAAATGAACCACCCTTAAAGACACAACCTTGGGTAACACTGTTAAATTCTCCAACACAAAAATTCTTCATAAAAATGTTCTTCCAGTTCGGAAGGGAAAAACCAAATTCCCATTTCTGGGGTGGAGGCAGACCAATACCTTCGAAACTCAGATGTTCTCCAAGTGCAAATGTCAAAACGGGGGGAGGAAAGGGTTTAAAAATTAGAGAAAACTGTATGCACTTACGGACTTTAAAATCCGAGAAACATAGTAAAAGACAAAAAAAACAAAACAAAAAACAAAGCATTATGCTCTGAAATCACAACCAAAGCCAAAATAAAAGGGACATTTTTCACCTAAGCTACCTAGAGGGATTTTTTTAGTTTTTCCTTTTTCTTTTTTTTTGTCTTTCCAGTTAAGTCCTATGTCTTTTGTGAAATTCCAATACTTAAACTGTAAGTCTGCAATCGTCTCTGAAGTCAATGAAATTAAGAAAAAAGTCCTAATTCTCTTGAAGGTCATTTTTTTCCTCTTAGGATATGCAGATGAAACCGTTGCTGTGGTCTGTGCAGAACTGCCTTTTATTTTCCACGACCTTGACGTTCCTAAAGGTTAAAAAAAAATGGAAATGGTTAGTTAAAACTTATCTGAATATGCTTAAGAATTAAAACTTCACAGAATAACAACTCAATAGAAATTTAGCTGTTTGTGCTGGATAGAAAATTGCCCAACAATAAAAACTGACTTTTGTTAATTTTGACCTGAGGAATTTTTCCCATTGATATTTAGGGAGGGAGGGAAATGTTGGTGTGAGACACATAGATTGGTTGCCTCCTGCACCCACCCTAACCAGGGCGGGGATGATGGAACCTGCAAGACAGGTATGTGCCCTTGATGAGGAATCGAACCTAAGACCCTTCAGTGCACAGGCTGACACTCCAACCACTGAGCCACACTAGCCAGGGCAAGAAAAATGAACTTATTTTTTTTATTTTAAACCAAAGTAGTAACATCCAAGCATTCCAATCAATACAACTTTTTTCACTTCAAAGTTTCTTACATGATTTATTGAAACATAGTATACAAAAAAACTAACAGCCTGGCCGGGCATCGACCTAGGATCCAGGAGATCTCAGTTCGATTCCCAGTCAGGGCACATGCCCAGGTTGCAGGCTCGATCCCCAGCAGGGGGGTGTGCGAGAGACAGCCGATCAATGACAATTCTCTCATCATTGATGTTTCTACGTCTTCCTTTCCCTCTCCCTTCCACTCTCTGAAATCAATAAAGACATATTAAAAAAAAAAAAAAAAACTAACAGTACTAGAATCATCCCATTCTAGTTCCAGAGCCTTAGACATATTTATAAGCCTTAATTTCCTTTTTTGTAAAGTGAGGATATGGATCTCTCACAGATATTTTCCTATATATAGGTAAAGTGCTTCAATCAAAGAAAGCACTTTAACACTTCTCTATGACATATCCAAATTGCCAGCATCACAGGTCTTGCGCTTCCAGGCTAGTATTAAGTGAGGGCTACTTGAACACAGGCACTGTGATACCGTGACAGCTGATTTTTCTTTTTGGTAATTTTTCAATTACAGTTAACATTCAATATTATTTTGTATTAGTTTCAGCTATATAGAATATTGGTTACATAATCATATACTTTACTAAATGTTCCTCCCTCAATATTTCTACTGCCCACCTGGTACCATACATAGTTATTCCCTACAATGCACTTTATATCCTCCGTGACTATTTTGTAACTACCAATTTGTACTTCTTAATCCCTTCAACCTTTTACACCCAGTCCCCCAACGTCCCCCTCCCCTCTGGCAACCATCAATCTGTTCTCTGTGTCCATGAGTGTTTCAATTTTGTTTTTCTTTTATTTTGTTCTTTAGATTCCACATATAAGGGAAATCATATAGTATTTGCCTTTCTCTGGCTGACTTATTTCACTTAGCATAATAACCTCTAGGTCGATCCATATTGCAACAGTAGTAAGAGGATAACACGTGTATCGGGGTGTTAGCATACACAGCACAGATAGGCTGGCTAGACAAAGGGATAATTCATATGCCCTCCAGGATGGAGCCAGACAGCATGAGATTTCATCAAGCTACTCAGAATAGTTACATGCAATTTGAAACTTACAAATTTTTATTTCAGGTATTTTCCATTTAATATTTTTGGACTGTAGCTGACTGCGGCTAACTGAAACCATGGAAAACAAAACCACAGACAAGGGGGGAGGGACTACTGTACAGTTTTGATACATACACAAAAAATAATCTTATATATTTATTTTTATTTTATTTTTTTAATCCTTACCAGAGGATATTTTTCCCATTGCTTTTCAGGGTA